CCCCTCCCCCACACCCCTCACTCACCCACACAGAGGACGACTCTTCCTGATTTCAAAAAACTGAGTTCCTGTGTGGTTGTATCTGACACAGAGGTTAAAGTTGACTCCACTGCTCAGGAAGGTCAAAAGGTCAAAAGGTCAGAAGTTCAAAGTTAACTTTTTGGCTGACTGGCCGAGCAGCTGGTGACAAATTTTACATGATCAGTTTCAGGGGTCTGAGTCCTGTGAGGGAGTCTCAGGGTCAAGGATACTGCAGAGCCTTCATGTAGTTCTGGACGGCCACCAGCCAATCAGGGACGGACATGGACGGTCTGAAGGTGGGGACAGAAGGAACGGGATGCTGAAGACAAAAAAAGTATTATTACCATACAACACTTCCAGCCAAGATTTTCCTGACGTTCCTCCAGGTTTCATCTCTGCTGGAAAGAAGAAGAAAAAAAAAACTGCAGCTCTGACACTCCATCCTGTGATAGAACACACACACACACACACACTATAATGACTTTATCTGAGTCACACACACACACACACACGTCCGTCAGACAGGAAGTTCGATCCTCAACCCACAGTAGTTTCCTGGGTTGTTTTATTTACAGCAGGAGTCGAGGAGAAGCCGATGAAAGAACAAAGATGGCCGCCACACATTTGATCAAACTGAGTGGAGTAAAAGTCAACGTCGTCCCTCCTCAGGTTCAGGTTTTATCTTTTTATTCTTCTCTTTCCTCCCCCTCTCCTCTCCTCTCCTCCCCTCTCCTCTCCCCTCCTCTCTTCCCCTCTCCTCCCCTCCCCTCCCCTCTCCTCTCCTCCCCTCCCCTCCCCTCTCCTCTCCTCCCCCCCCCTCTCCTCCCCTCTCCTCTCCTCTCCTCTCCTCCCCTCCCCTCTCCTCCCCTCCCCTCTCCTCCCCTCTCTTCCCCCCCCCTCCCCTCTCCTCTCCTCTCTTCCCCTCTCCTCCCCTCTCCTCCCCCCCCCCCTCCCCTCCCCCCCTCTCCTCCCCCCCCCTCTCCTCCCCTCCCCTCTCCTCCCCTCTCCTCTCTTCCCCTCTCCTCTCCTCTCTTCCCCTCCCCTCTCCTCTCCTCCCCTCTCCTCCCCTCTCCTCTCTTCCCCTCTCCTCTCCTCTCTTCCCCTCCCCCCTCCTCCCCCCCCCCCCCTCCCCCTCCCCTCTCCTCTCTTCCCCTCCTCTCCTCTCCTCTCTTCCCCTCTCCTCTCCTCTCCTCCCCTCTCTTCCCCTCCCCTCTCCTCTCCTCTCGTCTCCTCTGTAACCTCAAACCTCCTCTTTGTTCTGTGGCGCCTCCTCCTGATCTCCTACGACTGAAACCAGTTCAGGTTTCGAACATGAAAGAGAACAGCAGTTCTGTTCCTGTTGTACACAGTGGGACAGTGGATGAAGGGTCAGCCTTGTGACTACAGGGTTGAGCGTTGGAAACCATACACCCATGAACACCCACTGCCCAGGGCAGTAAATCCACTGTTTCTGCCCCACGGAGGGCTTCACTTCAGACCAGGAAAGAATGAAGTTTGATCTCCTTCATCAGCTGACGGAGAACCAACACCATGTGGAACCATGTGGAACCATGAGAACTGAGTACCAGCTCAGTGGACAGAAACAGTGGTCCTTGAAATATGTGACACACACACACACACACAGGTGCAGTTGCTACAACAGTACTGATCTCTAAACTGACACCTGGTGTCCATGGTGTCCCTGGTGTCCCTGGTGTCCATGGTGTCCCTGGTCCTCCACTGTTTGTTTACAACAGTTTCCAGGCACAGACTTCCACAGTAACACTGTGTACTTCCATGTGTATTTAAAACACACATATACTCTATTATACTGCAGTACAGGCACCATGGTAGGAACCAGAAAACACAACTATTTGTCTGAAGTCACATGGTCCACATGTTCCAAGTCCGTGTGGAGGACAAACAAAGGGGAGTCGCTGTGTTAGTGTTAGCGCTGATGCTATTTAAGAACGTGCTGCACCATGGGCAGCATCTGTGACACCCTGTTATTGTCTGTGTCCTCCCCCACAGAGAGGGTGAGGAGTGGGGGAGGGAGCCACCTGTGACCACAGCACAAACTTCCCTAAAACAGGAGTCATCAGTTATTCATCGGTACCCCCCCCCCAAAGAGCCGTGTGTTGTCAGCAGCGTGGGTCAACAGTTGGACACCTACCCTGGGCAGGTACGCGGTGTTTCGTATCCTGTCCACCATCTCCTGACCCTCTGGATGGACGGCTGCTACGTGGGACCACATCCTCTCCCAGGTGATGCTCTCAATGGGGAAACCTCCACGGTTGACGTAGAACAGAACTCCTCCGTCCTTCTCCTCCTCCTCCCCTGGGGGGCGGGGGCTGTTATTCAGGGGTGAGGCATCGTCCTGGGTGCTGCAGCGGAGGAGGCAGTGGGCGCTGGTGCTCTTGGACCGGCCATGTCTGCTCAGTTTGGCCGTGGAGCTGCCAGTGCGGCTGGGGGAGGTGGGTCCAGTCATCGGTACCAGAGGGAGGTTTAGCTACAACAACCTCTCTTCCTCTGGTCGTCGGACCTTTGACAACAAACCTGCTGAAGAAGCAGAGTTATCGTTATGATTTTAGACTTTTGTAACGTACATTACCAAAAGGAAACATCTATTTTTATATGAATGTTTTCATGCCAGTGAATCAACCAATACAAGAACACTTGGAGTTCAATACTCCTTAGGTCTAACATTTGAACAACTAACATTAAATGTTGCTAATGATGCCAACAATACTTAAGTTTGACATTCAAATGTCTTTGCTTAAAATAATAACAATATCATATAATGGTTTATAAACGATGCCTTAAAAACTAGCATGACATTTTTTTAAAAATACACACACACATAAAACGGTTCATTTGAATCAGAAACGTCGGGTAAATTTAAAATGGGTTAATTTACTGAAAACGAGGGTTTTTTGATTTTCCCACTACTGTTTATCTGTTTTGTAGCGTTTATCTTCCACACCGTTATCATACTTTCTGCATTTAAACAAAACGCACCATGTTTCCAGCGACGGACAGAAGCCACAGAAGATCCACTTCAAGCGGCGTCGGTGCCGGAGAAGAGACGGAGAGAGCCGGGAAGTCTCATTCATAACACAGCGTCGGTGGCCACCTCGGGCCGGAGAACCCAGTTTTTGGTTCAAGCCTTTAGAACTTCACCTCTTCTCTGTCTGCCACTGTCAAGTTGGACGAAAGCAATGGATACTTGCACCGGAAAATTAAATGTTCCCCGTGAAAATAAAAGCATGGCCTTATTTCAAAGACTGTAAAACGATTCAAATTAATGGAAATAAAGTCGGGACAGTTTGTTTACTGTTTTATTGTCAGGTCCGAGTAAACTAAGAAGGGACGATCACGATGTCTTGGCGAAAACCAAGAAGGTTGAAGCTTTTATTCTGTAGCAAAACATCTACCGGAAAATGGTGACATCGTCTTGTTGTTGTACTCCCGGTGTCAAAATACAGCAGCGAGCCGTCGCCTCCCAATACAGCAGTCCGATGAAAGAGCCTCGTTTTGGGGCAGCTGCCTTTGAGCCGCCGATGTATCAGCTAACTCCTCGGAGTCGTCACCTTCTTTGTCATCTTTATCTTTACCCAAACACGTTCAGTTTCTGCTTTACATGATTTAATCAAGATGAGGGCGCTAGCCTCTGTCCCCCAGTTCACCAACACTGAGGTCGGGTTGCTATTGGTCCAGCCAACAAAGAGAGGCGGGTCGTACAGCAGGCGCTACCATATTTGGAAAAGGCGGCGCTCTCTGATTGGTTTATTTCGATGGACCGAGGAGCCAACAAGTGATCTATATCTCTGCAACAAATGAGATCCTCAGCTGCTGAAACTGTTGATTTTTTTAGGGGTACATTTTGTACAATTTTGATCAGTTTGTGGCACAAAATAACCAAATACAACAAAAACAAAACAAAAAATTAAATTTCAAACCGAATAATGTAATAAAAACTCTTTGTGAATTGAATTTAATGTTTGTGTTTTGTTCTTGGTCGTTTACCGCCTCGTCTATACAACACCACGTGTGGGAAAATAACATTATGCTAAATTAATAAAGAATATGTATTAACCTCTTTTTATTTTGTCTGTTACTCACCGGTAAACATTGTATGCACATAAACAAATCGAGAGAGGTTTGGTCGAGTGTCATCGAGGATGACAAAGAAAAACATCCTTAAAAAGTAAAAGTATTTGCCTTCTTGTAGGTGTGTAAATTAAGAAACTGTCTGAGCTGTATTTATTGATCTGGAAAAATTACAAACCACCACCTAAAGCTGTGTTTTTATTTTTACAGTGACCACTAGACGGAGATAGAGCTCCCTCTTGTGGCTTCATGGACAAAAAGTTATTTGATAGGTTGGCGCAGCTGCTGAAATAAAGGTTTAGAATCAGGAACAAAATCTAGACTAAAACTCATTTTAGCTCAGAAGTCACGGAGATTTTTTAAGCCGAGCAAAAGAGAGGAATAAAAAAAAAACTAACTAAAGTTAGCTAAATGTTAGCCCAACATGAAAGAAAAGGGTAAACCAGAAACCACAAAAAGCAGGAGACGATTTATTCTAGGGAAAAAAACCCTTGTTGTTGCTAGTTGCTTGACAGTAGACAGCTCACAGCCAGCACATACATCAATAAACTATTTTTTATTAACTTAAACTTAGTAAGAAATGAAAACTTCACAGAAATATAAACAAAAATATGAAATATAATGTTTTTTAGCGTCCAAAAATCCAGTCAAAGTAAACGTGTTCACACAGAACACATCTGCACCGTGGCTAGCTACAGTATCGTCTTAGTTCTACAGTAGGTTAATATTAGCGTAGAGGGCGCTCTGGACTCCTGCGGAGGCTCTGGTCGCAGCTGAGGAAACGTTGACTGTGCTGTAGGTCACTGAAGAATCACAGCCGCGGACCTACAGGGAAAGTGAACTTCAATGTTAGCGTTGACATCATTATCACCATTAGAGAACAGAAGAGTGTCATCTGTCAATCACATACATCTGAGATGTGGCCCACATTTAGTGTACAGGACGTGTCCCATATTTCAGCTAAATCTTGGCCAGGTTTGATGTGTACGTTGTTACCTGTTCCACATTAGCATTAGCATTACCAACGTAGGACCAGAAAAGAAACAGCTTTGATTATAGGTGACTGGGACGTGGCCCATGTTTTGTAGACCAGATGAGAGCCACTCAAGGCCCATATTTCAGGGTTTTTTTTTTTTACATTTTTGCGGGTTGTTGTGTCTGGGGTGGATATGACTGTAAATGAAAACTCACTGGTCTGTTACCACAGCTGGGAAGACTGATGGAGGAGTAGTACACGCCCTCTTGTGGCTCGGCCTACACAGACAGAACACAGAAAACAGGAAGTTCTTAGACCAGACCTAGATCTTTTTGATTCCATGGACATGTGGTGGTACAGATTAGGCACCAAAGCATATGGTATATGGGTCAAATGGGGGTGTGGTACATACAGTAGGCTACATTCTGGCCCATATTTGAGCCAGGCACGTTTTGACTCACGGTCAAATATAGGCCTTAGAGTTCAACTGGACCTCGGTCAGACTTTAAAGCAATGTGACCCACGCGTGGACCGTTTCTGTTGAATTATTTTGACTCAAACTGGACCAAGTCATGGTCAGCTGGCCCAGCAATGTTGGCCAGATTAATAATTGTCATATTTGGGTCAGATGCTGTAAATGGACTGGTGACTTATCTATAGTGCCAGCTCCCTGGACCATGTCTGAGGGAAAGGGCAGTTGTTTTTAGACCAGTATGTTCTTGCCCCAAACATGGCCAAAAAGTGGGCTACAACTTCTGAACTCTCACCTGCGTCACTACCGTGTGAGTTTTCTTTACTGTTTGGAGGAAGAAGAAAAAAAAACATCAGAGAGTTCAAAAGTCAAGTTACCAAGTAGAAACTGGTAAAAATATTTGGTACTTCACACCTTGTCTTTTCTTCCAGACGACCAGAACCACAGCAGGGACTGAGAGAACAGTTAGACTCACAACAGCCAGAACCAGAATCCACACTGGCTGCTGCCACCAAGCTGCAAACACAGGAACTACACTTCAGAGACAGTGAGGTGAAAAAAACGAAATAAAAGATTTGGACAAACAGCAACGGAATGTTTAATCGAAAGAAGACAAGTAAAACAATACCTGATGTTGTTTCCTTAGTGTTTTTGTTCTTTTTTCCCACTTTGAAGAAAAAAAAAAGAAAAAGAAAACATAAAACAAATCCAGGCCGATACGATGTTGGAGGAACTTCCTGTCTTTTGTTTAGGTTTTCTCACCTGAGGGCCGTTTGATGAAGACCATCTCTTCGTCATTCACCTTCACTAAACATTTCCACAATTCTTTGTCTGGAGTGTTCTTAAAATGAGTGCTTTTAAAAGTCACCTCGGTCCAACATTCACCATTTGATGTTTTTAACTCCTCGTTGTCTTTATCCACTCCTCTCCATGACGGAGAATGACTGAGCCGACAGTGTTCACCTGTGACCACAGAACAAGTCAAGATCACGACGTCCTCCACCGTCTGCTCCGTGACTACAGAAAAATGTGAGAAGAAAAAAGAAGAATCCTGTGAGGACACTGGAAAGAACCACAACAAACAGGAACAAAAACATTGATTGAAAACCAGGTTTCGTCTGTGAGCACTAAAAATATTTGTGTGATATTTATTGTTTTGTTTGAAAGCCACAGCCCTAGACTGTACACCATCCCCCCAGTGTAGCTGTCGTCCCAGTGTGATCCTAGTCTCAGACTCTGTTCCATCTGAACATCAGTTCCTAACTCTGGAACAGAGGGATCTACATTTGGAATCACTAGAGAAGAAAGAAAAGAACAAGAACATGAACCAACACCAGGAATATTGGACTGGGAGTTGGGGAGAAAAAAAAAAACTGATCAATGACTGAGGAGATTGATATATCGATATATTCCTACAGGCCTAAAAGACGTTAGTATTAATAATATAAAACATAGAGCACAAATTACACAGATGAGAACCAAAGGCCAGCCTTCAGTGCTACAGTCTGAAGGAGTTAGCGACTTTTGTAGCCCCTTCAGAGGAAGTGTGTACGAGCGCAGCTCTGTGCTCTGTGTTTCTATTTTTTGACTTCCTGTCACAGTTAAAGGAGTTTGAAGAGAGTTGTCCCATTCCTCCACCAGCAGAGGTGGACTCACTGTTGACGACAAACAGTCGGATCACATAATCATTCTGAGGATTTCGTCTGCAGCCGTAACGACCCACGTCACCCTCTCTGACCTCCTTCATGACCAGAGAACAGTTCTTTGATAAAGAATATTTGTTTTTGTCAATAACATCTCCAGATGTAACCAGGTTCACAGTCCGCTGGTTCTCATAGGCTGAGAAGAGCCAGCTGATTGAAGTACAGTCTGGTGGAGTGTGGTCTGTCGTATGTTTACACGGCAGGAAGACTTCATCTCCAGCTCTGTTCAGCTGGTTAGAGTCCGGGCTTCCTAGTTCTGTGAAGGAAACAGGTGAGGAGGTCAAATGAGGTCAAACTGACAGTTGGTCTGACAGACAGTCTTCATCATCTGGACCTCACCTGTGAGCTGAAGAACCAGAACCACAGAGAAAACTGTTTTCATCTGCACACGTCCAGCCATGTTGTTCTTCTTCTCTTTTCTACTTCCTCTTTCTTCTATCACTGACGGAGGCTTTTCTCTCTCTCCTAATGGGAGCGTTGCTGACGTGTAGACGAGAAGTGGCCCTCCTGTCACAAGTGAAGAAATGAGTCAGTGACAAATGAAATCAGCAGAAGGAGAAGTGTTAAAAAAAAGTGGGTTTTTTTCCTTGTTGCTAAATTCACCATTTCCTTAAAATTGCAAAAGAGAAATGTTGTCACTTGGTGAAGTACTTGTGGCTTTATTTATTAGGTAAAAGTCAAAAACATACCAACCAGATACAAAATGAATTAAGAAAAGTGAATTTGACAGTTGAATTTGGACAAAAAGACCAGAAAACAAAAAAGTAAAAAAAAAACAAATAAAAAAACGAAGGAGGACGGGGGAGAGTGGGGGAGAAAATAACCAAAAGACACGGCATAAAGTTCCAGATAAAAAACAAAACAATTAAATGAATGAAAAGATCTCTCATCAACACCCCCTAGTGGAGGTGTTTGCTGAAGTCGTTCATGTTTTATGATTTTTTTTTTTTTTGAACAAAGACAATTCCAGAACATTCATGAAGAAGAAGAGCAGCTGCTGTAACTGAATGACAGTGAGTCTTCTGGCCACCGTCCAATCACAGGAGGCGACGATTTCAGTGACTGACGTTATCAACTTCATCATTGTCATCTGTCTTTATCATCATCTCCACCTGGAACATGAATGAATCAGCATCAAACCTCGCTGAAACCACCACCACCAACCACCAAACCGCCCGTGGTCACGGCCGCAGCACCACTGTTTCCTGGAGGAGGTGCTGCTGTTTGTTAGCAGTTTGTTAGCAGTTTGTTAGCAGTTTGTTAGCAGTTTGTTAGCAGTTTGTTAGCAGTTTGTTAGCAGTTTGTTAGCAGTTTGTTAGCAGTTTGTTAGCAGGTTGTTAGCAGGTTGTTATCAGGTTGTTAGCAGATTGTTATCAGTTTGTTATCAGTTTGTTATCAGTTTGTTA